AAGTCCTCACAAAGGAGTTTCAGCGTCCACAAAAAAGTTCCACCGTAAACACAAAAGAGTTCCAACGTGAACACAAAAGATTTCCACGGTCAAAATAAAAAAGATCATCACAAAAGAGTTCCAACACAAAAGAGTTCCAACAACAACATAAAACAGCTCCAGCCTCCACTTAAACGAGTTCCATTGTCCTCACAAAAGAGTTCCAACGTCAACATCAACATAAAAGAGTTCCAACGTGAGCACAAAAGAGTTCCAACGTAAACACAAAAGAGTTCCAACGTGAACACAAAAGAGTTCCACGGTCAAACAAAAGAGCTCGAACATCAACACAAAAGAGTTCCAAGAACAACATAAAAGAGTTCCGGCTTTAACACAAATGAGTTCCAGCGTCGACATAAACGAGGTCGAACGTCAACACAAAAGAGTCCCAGCGTCCCAACAAAAGAGTTCCAGCGTCCACAAAAAAAGTTTCAGCGTCCACACAAAAGAGTTCGAACGTCCATAAAAACAAGTCCAACGTCCTCGCAATGGAGTGCGAACTTCAACACAAAAAAGTTCCAACGTCCACAAAAAACAGTTCCAACGTGAACACAAAAGAGTTCCAACGTGAACACAAAAGAGTTCCATTTCAACGTCCTCACAAAAGAATTGCAAAATCAACATAAAAGAGTTGCAGCGCCCACATAAACGAGGTCGAACGCCAAAACAAAAGAGTCCAAGTGACCAAAGAAAGGTGTTCGAGCGTCCATAAAAACAAGTTCCAACGTCCTCGCAATAAAGTTCGAACGTCCACACAAACAAGTTCCAGCGTCGACTGAAAAGAGTTCCAGTGTCCACACAAAAGAGTTCGAACGTTCTCACAAGAGTTCAAGCGTCAACAAAAAGGAGTTCCAACGTCCTCACAAAAGAGTTCCAGCGTCAACAAAAAGGAGTTCCAACGTCCTCACAAAAGAGTTCCAGCGCCCTCACAAAATATACGATTTCTCTGTAAAGAAGGAAGACAAGATAAATGAACTTTGACTGAAACTGAGTTGTGACATCACGATGTGTTTTCGAACTAGAGTTAAAAAATTTTGCACATTTCATTTGCAGGAAATATCATTGCTTGTTTATCGCTAGCTTCGCTTACCTGTAAATTACCTGCAAGCTTATATTTGCTTAACTGCTTTTAAATTGCTAATCGTTGTATAAAGTATCTGTATTAAAAAAACTAATTATATTGTTTCGTTCGACTTTGATTTAAAGAATTTTGCCGACCTTTTTATGAGTGCTTTTAGTACAGATTTAGGTTTTCTACAAATTGCATGTTTCATATCGTACGGAAATTTAAAAATTTTTTTAGCACAAATCTATTTAGATAAATGTTTTGAAAATAATATCTAAATGCACCAAAAATACTGAGTGTCTCGCAGAAAACTTTACCAGAGACGAAAGCCATCCAAACCAAGTACTTTGTCATATTTTCACGAATTTTGAAAGTCGTCTGAAAAATGCTGTGTATCTCCGTTAATATTCTAGTCATACCAATATTTTATGTTATATATCAAAATCTAAGTCATTTCAACTCAACAGCTTTTTTGAGACGCTAATGTAGCTGTAAATCTATTTTAAAATCGAAGCTCCCCTTTCTGTATCCTACGTGCGCCCATTTACACGTGCCTGTTTTGCAGAGCATAAATGTAAACCACACTATAGTGATGTCCTTGCAGCTCCGGGTTATATTTTTTTCGCTGCCCCTTTTATTACCAAAAGTGCCCCTGGAAACCAGTGTTTCCTACGCCCAATTGGTTGTTGTCGTTTAGTGGTCATGCATACCATTACTGTTAGTTTTTAGCTTGATTCACGACAAAATCATTTTCATCGAAAACGCACGCACCGGGCGGTTCAATTAAATGACGAAAAATTCATTCAATAGTTGTCAATTAAATGATCGTTTCGTGCGGATAGGTTTGCAAAAATTTTGCGTGCGAAAAATTATTTCACAGAGCGATAAAAAGCGGTTAATTGAAAAGTATGTTTTCCCTTTCCTCATTATCCAAACCCTTCCGACGCAGGTCGAAGGTTGGCGAAGAAACATTGTTGGAAATAGAAAAAATTAGAGACAACGACGGCTTAGCGAGTGATAATCAATTAAAGATTTCAAGACAATATGCAGGTAATCCATGCAGGTCTCGATTGTTTCATTAGTATATCTGGCTGATAACCCTATGACGCGCTAACTTAATGTTTTGTTGTTTTTGTTATTCCAGAGAGGCTTGGGTCTGTTAGCGGAACACGCGAAATGTCCGAAGAGGAAAAAATGTACCACGATTTGTTCGGCGTCAACAGCCAAACAGAAGGTTAGTGAATTTGAGATGATTTATCAAATTTCGCTTCTGCCTTTGCGAATGTCATTTTGTTTTTTATCGTGCACATTTCTAAAGCGGGCTGATTTCTTTGGAAAAAAATGAAAGAAATGTATAAGCGTCCCAGTACAATTGCCAAAATGGAATAATAATTATTTTTCTTCTTTCAGAATGTGGCCACACTAAAAAGACACCGAGAAAGACGAGAAATGAAGCAGTTCAACTTTGTGAAGTGATATTTGAAAATAACAACGATGTAGAAGACAACGGTGGCGACACAGTTCTGTCAGTTCACACAGAAGACCTCACTCGCCGAGGCGTAACTCGTAAAATCGGTAAGTTTACTTATTGAATTCCACTGCTTGCAATATACCGCAACATATAAGACCAGTCCAAATATACCTTTCGAAGTTTTAAAATAAATTTTAAATAAAAACCCGCTGGTAAAATAAAATTACACTGATAGGCTGCCAGTGAAAAGGAGTGTTGATATTGCTGAGCGTGGAATTAATCAATGCTATCAGGGAAACCCTTCGTCAAATGTGGACAGCGCTGAGGGCCGGTTGTATAAAAACGTAGTTAGCGCTAACTGCAGTTAAAAAGTAGATAAAAAAGTAGTTAAAATTAAAAAGTAGGTAACTTTAATCACGTAGTTAAGTCGGTTGTATAAAAGTGTAGTTAGCCTCAACTGCAGTTTAAAAGTGGTTAAAGTTAACTATCCTCAAGGGAATCGTTAACTTTCCAAATCGTAGTTAAAAATGGTGTCTTGAGCTTTTGAGGAAATAGAAAACGTTAGAATCAACACCTACCAAGGTTGTCAACTTAGAAAAGGCCCCGTCGAAGCTTGTAAAGCTTCAATATGCTTTTATTTTTTTCATTTGGGCAGCAACAGAATATATTTTTGCTTCGGGAGACGTGTCGATGCCAAATTGCGATCCTAGAAAAGATTAGCCATCTCCATTTTCAACTGCAACCGGTAGTTTGACTCAAAAAAGCTTTTTATATTAAGCGCGCCTTTTTCGTTGAATTATTTTGGACTTTTTCCTTGTTTTATCATAGGCGGCCCAGAACTGATCTCGCTCGCTAAACTCGCTGACCTTGCGCGACGCTCATGTTGTCTGAAAGGTCTTATATTATGACAAGGTAGGCAACTCTCACGCCAAATAAGCTAAAAATGCACGACGGTTAACTCAAACACCTTCACAAAACCGCAAATATTTCGTAAAAATATGGCGCATAAGAAAAAAAAGTACAACACATTAAACTTGCAAAAAAAAGTACAACACATTAGACTTGAATAATTTTACTACATTTATACTCAATTTTTAGCATTCAAATGTATTCCTATGCATGTATAAAACGTGAATGTTTTTTAGGTTTCTGGCAAATATATTTCAAAACCTATGCTGAGGACACCTTGCCTATACCTTCGTCATATTTTTAAACTGAAAATAGAAAGCTGATTGGCTGTCGTTTAAAAAGAGCATTAATAATATATATTTGCCAGAAACCCAAAAAACATTCACGTTTTATGCATGCATAGGAATACATTTGAATGCTAAAAATATCGTATAAATGTAGTAAAATTATTCAAGTTTAATGTGTTGTACTTTTTTTCTTATTCGCTATATTTTTATGAAATATTTTCGGTTTTTGTGAAGGTGTTCGAGTTAACCACCGTGCGTTTTTAGCTTATTTGGCGTGAGAGTTGCCTACCTTGTCATAAATATAAGACTGTTCAGACAACATGAGCGTCGTGCGAGGTCAGCGAGATTAGCGAGATTAGCGAGATCAGTTCTGAGCCGCCTGTGGTTTTATTGTATTTTTCGAATATTTTTTTATCAAAATCGCTGATCAAAATACTGTCAATTGTTTAAAATACGAGTCCACAGTCTTGCTCAAAATCGATAACAGCGGTGAATAATTTCTAGATACTTCATGCTATTTCTTTGTTTAACAACCCCACACAAGCTCCACGCAAGTTAACCACGTGATTGGTTAATCATCCGACAAACTAGGTTTTGTGCAACCCAGTTATTAATTCGTGGAGTTAACTAATTATAGTTAAGGAATTAACTACAGTGATTAGCGATGATCATAATTAAAGTTAACGAAGTTTTTATACAACCGGCCACTGCTCATTAATAATACAATTTCTCTTATATCCATCCAGCTTCAGAAATTGCTTTCGAGTGTCGTCAGTGGGCAAAAGAAGACAACGAAAGAAAGGAAAAACTATTAAAATTAAAGTCGGGCATTTCTGACACGCCTGCACAAAAGCTTGCGAAAACAGGACAATATGTCAATGCAGAGAGTTCCGACTCAAACGTCCAAAAAAATGTCGCAGAATCTCTTTGTGAGGTAAGAGAAACCAATCAAGCATGCAAAGGATACTTTTTCCAACACAAGAAAACCTGATTACCAAACTTTTACTTTACTTAATAAAATATCGCTCGCCATTGAAAGTTCTATTAACCTGGGTCCTTTACAATCACTTCAGCTTGCTGAAGAAGATTTCAAAGTCATAAAGAAGAAATGTTCAAGGAAAATGAAACGAAAACACAGAAAGATCAACCCTTTATGTGATTCGACTACAGGCCACGACTCAGTAAATCCTGAACCTTGTCCAATGAAGAAACCATCTGATATCTACAAAATGTTTCAAGGAACAACGTCAAGTGACATCAACTCCAGAGAGGTTCCATCCATTGAACCAGATGATGAATACAAGCAGATGGAGAAAGCAGATGGAGAAGGTAAACACCGTATTTCAGGCGTAAGAAAGTGAGCTCAATTTCTTCTATTACATACATATCAGATGCTGCGGTTAGTTTCACAACTCACGGCTAAACATTTCACAAGTGATTATTAATTTCATAGCGTCATCTTCAGCGGAGACAAGTACAACGAAAACAAGTAAATGGTCCCAGTTTTGGAAACATGGAAAAACCAAAGTGAAAAAAATTAAACAGCCAAAAAAGATCGACGATCCCAACGAAAACGAGGAAACAACGACCAAACACAAGACCTCCAAATTCAAATTCTTAAAAAAAACAACGAATGGAAAAAGAAAATCAAAAGCAACTTCTTCAGAAGAGCAAAACATCGCAGCAGTTACACCAAGTGATCTTTACAAGAAAAAAAACGCTTCCGCCACAAGAAGCCAATAAACCTCTCAAAACACAACACCGAATTCACAAGATTTAGCATCAACTCACAAAATAAAAAAAAACTTTCTACGAAAAACACAAAAATACCATCGTACACACACAAAACTTCAAACGTCCATTAACAAGAATTTCAACCTCCAAACACAAAAATTCCTGCAACGACCAAACATCAGTTCCAACGTCCACACAAAACAGTTCCAACATCAACATAAAAGAGTTCAAGCGTCAACACAAAAGATTACGAGCGTCCACACAAACGAGTTCCAACATCAACACAAATGAGTTCCAGCGTTCACACAAAAGAGTTCCAGCGTGATAGCGTCCACAGAAAAGAGTTCCAAGGTCAACAAAAAAGAGTTACAACGTGAACACAAACGAGCTCCACTGTGAACCAAAAAGAGTTCAAGCGTCCACCCAAAAGACTTTCAGCGCCAACAAAAAAGAGTTCCAGCATCCAAACAAACCAATTCCAAAATCAACACAAAAGAGTTCCAGCGTCCTTACAAAAAGGTTCCAACGTCAATAGAAAAGAGCTCCAACGTTCTCACAAGAGCTCCAACGTGAACACAAAAGAGTTCCACCATAAAAAAAAAGAGTTCCTGCGTTTAAACAAACAGTTCTAATATCAACATAAAAGAGTTCCAGCGTCAACGAAAAAAAGTTCCAACGTCAACACAAAAGAGTTCCAGAGTCCTCGCAAAAAGGTTACAACGTCAACAGAAAGAAGCTCCAACGTTCGGACAAGAGTTCCAACGTGAACACAAAAATGTTCCACCTTCAACAAAAATAAGTTCCAACGTCAACACGAAAGAGTTCCAGCGTTCACATAAACAGTTCTAACATCAACATAAAAGAGTCCCAGCGTCAACAAAAACGAGTTCAAACGTCAACACAAAAGCGTTTCAGCGTCTACAGGAAAAAGTTCCGCGTCCACAAAAAAAAGTTCCAACGTGAACACAAAAGTGTTCCAGCATCCTCACAAAAAGGTTCCAACGTCAACAGAAAGAAGCTCCAACGTTCTGACCAGAGTTCTAACGTGAACATCAGAATGTTCCACCTTCAACAAAAAAGAGTTCTAACGTGAACACAAAAAAGTTCCAACGTGAACACAAAAGAGTTCCAACGTTCACACAAACAGTTCTAACATCAACATAAACGAGTTCCAGCGTCAACAAAAAAGAGTTCGAACGTGAACACAAAAGCGTTTCAGCGTCCAAAGGAAAAAGTTCCAGCGTCCAAAAAAAACAGTTCAAACGTAAACACAAAAGACTTCCAACGTCAACACAAAAGAGTTACAACGTCAACACAAAAGAGTTCCAATTTCAACACACAAGAGTTCCGGCGTCCAAAAAACAGAGTTCCGGCGACCGCGAAAAAGAGTTCTAGCGTCCACACAAAAGAGTTCCAAAGTGAACACAAAAGAGTTCAAGCTTCCACACAAAAGAGTTGCAACATCAACAAAAAAGAGTTCCAGCGTCAACGCAAAAGAGTTCCAGCGTGGCAGCGTCTACAGAAAGGACTTCCAACGTCAACAAATACGAGTTCAAAGGTGCTCACAAAAGAGTTCCAGAGTCCTCGCAAAAAGGTTACAACGTCAACAGAAAGAAGCTCCAACGTTCGGACAAGAGTTCCAACGTGAACACAAAAATGTTCCACCTTCAACAAAAATAAGTTCCAACGTCAACACGAAAGAGTTCCAGCGTTCACATAAACAGTTCTAACATCAACATAAAAGAGTCCAAGCGTCAACAAAAACGAGTTCAAACGTCAACACAAAAGAGTTTCAGCGTCTACAGGAAAAAGTTCCGCGTCCACAAAAAAAGTTCCAACGTGAACACAAAAGTGTTCCAGCATCCTCACAAAAAGGTTCCAACGTCAACAGAAAGAAGCTCCAACGTTCTGACCAGAGTTCCAACGTGAACATCAGAATGTTCCACCTTCAACAAAAAAGAGTTCTAACGTGAACACAAAAAAGTTCCAACGTGAACACAAAAGAGTTCCAACGTTCACACAAACAGTTTTAACATCAACATAAAAGAGTTCCAGCGTCAACAAAAAAGAGTTCGAACGTGAACACAAAAGCGTTTCAGCGTCCAAAGGAAAAAGTTCCAGCGTCCACAAAAAACAGTTCGATCGTAAAAACAAAAGACTTCCAACGTCAACACAAAAGAGTTCAACCTTCAACATAAAAGAGTTCTACTGTCATTACAAAAGAGTTCCGGCGTCCACAAAACACAGTCCCGGCGACCGCGAAAAAGAGTTCTAGCGTCCACACAAAAGAATTCCAAAGTGAACACAAAAGAGTTCAAGCCTCCACAAAGAGTTGCAACTTCAACAAAAAAGAGTTCCAGCGTCAACGCAAAAGAGTTCCAGCGTGGCAGCGTCTACAGTAAGGACTTCCAACGTCAACAAATAAGAGTTCCAAGGTGCTCACAAAAGAGTTCCAGCGTCCACATAAAAGAGTTCCAAAGTGAACAAAAAAGAGTTCCAAAGTCAACACAAAAGCGTTTTAGCGTCCACAGGAAAGAGTTTCAGCGTCCACAGGAAAGAGTTCAAGCGTCAACAAAAAATAGTTCCAACGTGAACACAAAAAAGTTCCACAGGCAACACAAAAGAGTTCCAACGTGAACAAAAAAGAGTTCCACCTTCAACACAAAAGAGTTCCAACGTTCCCACAAACAGTTCTAATATCAACATAAAAGAGTTCCAGCGTCAAAAAAGAAGAGTTCCAACGTCAACACAAAAGCGTTTCAGCGCCCAAAGGAAAAAGTTGCAGCGTCCACAAAAAACAGTTCCAACGTGAACACAAAAGAGTTCCAACGTCAACACAAAAGAGTTCCACCTTCAACATAAAAGAGTTCCACCGTCATTACAAAAGAGTTCCAGCGTCCACACTAACGAGTTCCAACGTCAACATAAATGAGTTCCAACGTCAACAAAAAAGAGTTCCAAAGTCAACAGAAAAGAGTTCCTGCGTTCACACAAACGAGTTCCAACGTTAACATAAAAGAGTTCCAACTTCAACAAAAAAGAGTTCCAACGTCAACACAAAAGAGTTTCAGCGTCCACAGGAAAGAGTTCATGCGTCCACAAAAAACAGTTCCAACGTGAACACAAAAGAGTTCCAACGTGAACACAAAAGAGTTCCAACGTGAACAAAAAAGAGTTCTACTTTAAACACAAAAGAGTTCCAGCGTTTACACAAAATAGTTCCAGCGTCCACAAAAAAGAGTTCCAACGTGCTCACAAAAGAGTTCAAGCCTCCACAAAAAAGAGATCCAGCGTACACGCAAAAGAGTTCCTGCGAGGCAGCGTCAAAAAAAAAGAGTTCGAAAATCAACACAAAGGAGTTCCAACGTCAACAAAAAAGAGTTCCAACGTCCTCACGAAAGAATTTCAGCGTCGACACAAAAGAGTTCCAACATGAACACAAAAGAGTTCCACCGTGAACCAAAAAGAGTTCAAGCGTCAACACAAAAGAGTTCCAGCATGAACAAAAAACAGTTCCAGCGTCCTCACAAAAAGGTTCCAACGTCAATAGAAAGGAGCTCCAAAGTTATCACAAGATTTCCAACGTGAACACAAAAGAGTTCCAACATGAACACAAAAGAGTTCCACCGTGAACCAAAAAGAGTTCAAGCGTCAACACAAAAGAGTTCCAGCATGAACAAAAAACAGTTCCAGCGTCCTCACAAAAAGGTTCCAACGTCAATAGAAAGGAGCTCCAAAGTTATCACAAGATTTCCAACGTGAACACAAAAGAGTTCCACCGTCAAAAAAAAAGAGTTCCGTGAAAAAAAAAGAGCTCCAGCGTTTACACAAACAGTTCTAATATCAACATAAAAGTGTTCCAGCGTCAACAAAAAAAAGTTCCAACGTCATTACAAAAGAGTTCCAGCGTCCTCACAAAAAGGTTCCAACGTCAACAGAAAGGATCTCCAACGTGAGTTCCAACGTGAACACAAAAATGTTCCACCGACAACAAAAAAGAGTTCCACCTTCAACACAAAAGAGTTCCAAGGTCAACACAAAAGAGTTCCAGCGTCAGCACAAAAGAGTTCCAGCGTCCACGAAAAGAGTCCACACAAAAGAGTTGCAACGTGAACAAAAAAGACTTCCAACGTGAACAGAAAAGAGTTCCATGGTCAACTCAAAAGAGTTCCAACGTGAACAGAAAAAAGTTCCAATGTCCACACAAAACAGTTCCAACATGAACAAAAAAGAGTTCCAACGTGAACACAAAAGAGTTCTATGGTCAGCAGAAAAGAGTTCCAACGTCAACATAAAAGAGTTCCAGCGTCAACAAAGAAGAGTTCTAACGTCCACACAAAAGAGTTCCAACATCAACACAAATGAGTTCCAGCGTCAACAAAAAAGAGTTCCAGCGTTCACACAAAAGAGTTCAAGCGTCCACACAAAAGAGTTCCAACGTTAACACAAAAGAGTTCCAACGTGAACACAAAAGAGTTCCAGCGTCAACAAAAAAGAATTTCAACGTTCACACAAAAGAATTCCAGCATCCACAAAAAAGAGTCCTAGCGTCCGCACAAAAGAGTTCCAACATCAACACAAATAAGCTCCAGCGTCCACAAAAGCAAAAGAGTTCCAGCGTCCACGCAAAAGAGTTCCAGCTTGGCAGCGTCTATAGAAAAGAGTTCAAACGTCAATAAATAAGAGTTCCAACGTGCTCAAAAAAAAAGTTCCAGGGTCCACACAAAAGAGTTCCAGCGTGGCAGCGTCCACAGAAAGGAGTTCCAACGTCAACACAAAGGAGTTCCAACGTCAACAAATAAGAGATCCAGCGTCAACTTAAAAGAGTTCCGGCGTGGCAGTATCCACAAAAAAGACTTCCAACGTCAACACTAAAGACTTCTAACGTGAACAAATAAGAGTTCCAACGTCCTCACGAAAGAGTTCCAGCGTCCACTAAAAAAATTCTAACGTCCACACAAAAGAGTTGCAACATGAAAACAAAAGAGTTTCAGCGTCAACCAAGAAGA